CCCACAAATGCTATCCGAGTTTTTTCAACTCACAATGGCTTCACCCAAATGCAGCAGTGATAAAACACCCCTTTCCTCCTGATAATCACTAACCATCTCTAACTTCTCAATTTCATAATTAAGAAAATTCAAACCATAAATCCTCCAGTGAGTCTACTTCCCATGAAAACACAGACAACCATATTAAAAAGATATACTGTGTATTGTTTCCCCACTTCATCCCTTCTCTGGCCAACATAACTTTTTGGCTAAGCGGCTGGCATCTAGACAGGCTACCCCTGTCCTGCCACCAGAGAGCTTTAGCCACAGCAAGTATATGAACATGAGTGTGAGTGTGTGGGGACTCAAGGTTTATTTCACAAACACAGAGCAAAGATGTCAGCCAACTCTGATGCTCAGATGCTCCTGCAGGAAGTGCAGAGAGTCCTAAGCATCTGCATCTGATTCTAACAGAATGATTTACACCTCTTCCACCCAGCAATTCCAGGAATGTTAACGACGGAACAAAACTCAGTCAAGCTTTCAAACACCAAAAGACAGCTGGAGACAGACCCTAAAAAAGCCACATGAGAAGAAAATAAAGCCTTTTCTTCTCATGCACAAGGATAAGGAATAAGTTGAAAAGTTATACAGTGGCACTTACTCTGTTCTCCTGGGTCATTATTAACATGTTCTCATTTAGAATTTACAGTGTCCTATGGTCCAGAAACACCAAATGTCTCATTACCCTTCACCACATTCCTGAGGTCAGAAAGAATTTCCATTTCACAGACAGAAAAATCAAGGTGAAAGAAAATTAAGCACTTTCTTGGTGGTCCAGGGCTTAAGAATCTGCCTGCCAATGCAGGGGACACAGGTTGGATCCAAGATTCCACAACTGAGCCCATGCAACACAGCTACTGAGCCCGCACACCTAGAGCCTAGGCTCTGCAACCAGAGGCCCAGCAACTAGAGAAAACCTGCATGCAGCAAAAGACCCAACACAGCCATAAGTAAATAAAACTGATCCCCGAACAATACTATTTTTCAGCAAAAGAACTTCGAATGGACCAAATACTCTGCCTCCAGAGGAAAAAAAACAAAAACAAATATCCTTAATTTCTGAAATTACTTCTACATCCAAAAAATCAAAATCACTTTATGTCACTAAATTACTAGAGAAGACACACTGGTCTGTCTCTATTTTTTAATGTGCTTTTCCTGATTTAGCAGAGTCATTCTAGATACAGACAAGATCACCTACCCACATGGAATTATGTGGCTTTCAACTCATGCTTCACATTTGGGGCAATCATGAATATGAGAAGCCTCTTTCTCACACCAAAAGACCGCATTGATAGGCTCCACGGGCCATCATAAGGGCAGCTGCAACACCAGTCCGTCTCTCTCTTAAATATGAGGGTCGTTCACGTTACAGAAAAACACGTGTTGAAAAACAGCTCTTAACTTGGACTACCATAAGGGAGGAACTGCAGAGATTATGGTTTATGACAACAAATCTCAAACAGCTTGGTTCCTGAAATGTCCAAGGCTTGGGCCACACACCCAGTTGTCATGTAAACACTGGTATATCAATGAAATGTTTCTGTTTTAAAATCAGCAAACAGAGGAGACAAAAATCAAGGGACTGACAGGGAGTGGCTGCTGCGGAACATATCCCCACCAAGAAACCAGAGAACAGTTACTAGGGGCCCCACAGCAAACAGGAAGGGAGACAGCTGAGAAGATGCCAATAAAGGCAAGTCCAAGAAAGGGTAACATAAACTACATTTACTTAAACACTTTAAGAACCTACATGTAAAGAGTCATCTTTCCACAAAGGTTTTCAGTTCACACGGTGATCAAAATAGTATTTACTTCCCAGTGGCCAAACCCACATGTTTCAAATAAGGAACAGCACGGATGCTTATGAGCATCACAAGCCCACGAGAAGGAGGGTGGTTTATTATTAACAGGAAGCCCAGGAACAAGTATGCGCCAAGCATTTGAGAGGTTCAAGAGAGTGACAGAGTTTCAAATGGCTTTTCTTTGGCCCACTGAAGCATGCGTTCATTGAGTCAACAAACATTTGTGGGCACTTACTATGATCAAGACACGCATTTTGATGGATGGTGTCCTGGTTGGCATACCTGCCATGGAACGAATGGGCAAGGAACAGCGTGTAGTTCAGAACCAGCTTACACTTTAAAATGAGAATTATGACAGGAAAACAGCCAACTTAATGAAGCTGGAGAGCCAGAATAACATTATTATGGGGCCCTTCTCTTTTCTATTATGATGTTTAAAGACCTAATTCACATTCTTCTCTGTGTGACTTTGAAATGTGTGGCCATTTTCCTTTTGAAGGAATGAATGACAAGCCCTGAGGTTTAGGTCTCATATCAAGGAGCAAACAAAGGTTGGGAAATCATCTCCCGAAAGGAGCTCTTTGTTACACTCGAAGATACACTCGAAATGAAATTTGGAATGCACAACACAATAATACATAACAATATGTAATCTAAACATTAAACCAAAGAAAAGTGACAGTCTGAACAGATTCTTTGCTGATGGAGTATCAAAGAAAAGTACGGGTTAGGTAGTAAGAACTAGAGGTGCTTTATGTTTAGCTGGAGTATACAACAGAGTTGACCTTTGAACAACACGAGTTTGATGTGCAAGTCCATTTACATATGGATTTTTTTCAGTAGTAAAACTACAGTACAACACAATCCACAGTTCAGTGAATCTGCAGTTGCAGAGGAACCATATACACTGGGGGCAAACTATAAATTACACTCTGATTTTTGATTGCATAGAGGGTTGGCGTGCTGTTCAAGGGTCAATGGTTTAAGGCGGGAAGTTGAAATGGTGCCATGAATTTAAGGCTAAGGAGCTTGCACTTTATTTGACAGGAAACTCCCCACCCCCCCCCCACGCCATTTATTTGCTTTTGTTTATTTTTGTTTAATTTTGGAAACCACTTTTGAGCAATTAAGTGACATGATTAGACAGTTAACCTTGCATTAGTGCCCAAGGAGGAAGGGGGGGTAGGAGAGTAGTTATTAACAGAAATCTACTGCAAATGTTCCATTAAAAACAGGAGGAAACATTCCAAGAAACATTGCAGAGGGAAACGTGGAGAGGACTTAGAAGACAAAGAAGGGGGCCTCTGATATAAGAATCACCCCAGGGTCCGGAGGTCAGGTGACTTAGAGAGCAGCAACACAGCCAGGTGAGGTTTGGGAGGGAGAACAGCTTGGAGACACCACACAAGGAGCCCGAGCGGGAGGTGCAAGGCTGGAGACCTGGGAAGGATGAGATCAGAGGGAACCCAAAACAAAGGCCTTTGGGTGCACACGCTGTACAAGTTAGCAGCTTTCTAACAGCTCTCTTCACCTGTGGCTGACAGCTTAGTTATCTGATCGAAGGACCCCAGATTAGACTCCGACACCCCAGGCAAACACTCTAGGCACCTCCTTAAGCCTTCCTGACGGAGTTCCCGCACTCTGGTGGGTACTCTGACTTTCTGTTGCCTCACACAGAAGCTCTGGCTTCTCTATGCTGCCCCTTGGGAGGTGTCACTCTGATGCTGCTGCTGCTAAGTCACGTCAGTCGTGTCTGATTCTGTGTGACCCCACAGATGGCAGCCCACCAGGCTCCCCCATCCCCGGGATTCTCCAGGCAAGAACACTGGAGTGGGATGCCATTTCCTTCTCCAATGCATGCAAGTGAAAAGTGAAAGTGAAGTCGCTCAGTCATGTCCGACTCTTCGCGACAGCCTACCAGGCTCCTCCGTCCATGGGATTTCCGGCAAGAGTACTGGAGTGGGTTGCCATTGCCTTCTCTGGTCACTCTGATGGAATATTGCTGAATTTTCACTTTTCCTTCAGAGCCATCCCAAAGACCAGCCCTGCTCACATCTTCACAGTCAGGCCAGTGATCCCCCATCACTCGCCCAGACTCACAGCCTGAGAACCAGCCCATTCCAAAGAATTCTGCAGGTCTAGGAGACAGGCTCAGATACCCACACAAGATGGGTCATTTCTTGAAGTTTATTTTAAAATCTAATATTTAAAGCAATTTGAAAGCATCAGCTAAATGTATTTCATACCCAGTGATTTAGAAAAAGCAGTGTCTAGACATTAACAGTCCAAGTTACTAACACCTAGGTATCCTGAGACGCAACCTCTCATGCATATATTTCTTGGCCAATTTTATTAACAGAGCAGATAACTTAGATTCACATCAACTTCCCCTGTAAGTATTAATTGTAAAAAGGAAATAAAAAGAAACTTCCCCTTTCTAAATCTGTGCCTACATCAATATTTTAAATTTAGACAACTAATATAATTTTAAAATCAAACTAAACCAAACCAAATCTGAGTTTAAATTTTGTTAAGTTTCATACCATAATAAAATCTGACATTACAAATAAGAAAAACTTTGGGTCAACACATAAACACACTCACACATACATACCATTTTTAAAAAATCTAAAACCCAGGGGTTTTTGGGCAATTATTAACATAATTTAGTTAACATAGCATAGACTACAGAAAAAAATAAAGGTCTTTTATGAGAAAAGAAACTATGTCACTCAGATATTAAAAATAACCATTAAAAAGGAAAGTTTTGTTTTTCGTTTTGTCATTTCAAGCTGATTAAAAATGACTGTTCCTCTTTGGTAAAATCCACCCCCCAAAAAAGATATTCAAAGATATTTTACCTCTCCAGTGTTTTAGTCTCAACACAAGCCCCTCCCCTCCAAACTTTAAGCAAAGCCAATAAATGGAAAAATGAAGTCATTTTGAGTTTCACATTGTTTCTACACCCAAACACATAGCTGCAGCCTGAGGTAACCAAAAGGCAAAATGCAGTTATCTGAGTAATCACTAACCCAGTAATCTCTAAATACACACCCTGATTATGTGGAAATCTTTTTCTTATTCTTCTAGAGGCTCCACTTCCCTGGGTGGGGGAGAGGCTCCCACTGGGGCAAGAGTGCTTCTGGCGCTTACCTTTTTGGCTCTTTGGGCTATGTCTGGTGTTCTTGTAAGCAGCTTTTCAATCAGGTACTCTCTGTTCTGCAAAACAAATATTCCCAAGGTTTGACATCAAATACGATACACTGAAATTTGTAGAGATTTTAAAAATAGCAGATTGACTTGGGTTTTTAAGCATGTTACCTTGGCTTTCTGGAAGAATTTGCATTTTAAAAGTTCTGCTGCTGTAGGCCTGAAAGATCAATAATAAATTAGAGTTGAAACAATGACCACTCAATAAAGACACTGCCTTGATGAAACACCTTAATCCTAGAGTCTTTCTGGAAAACCAGTTTCAGGAATAGCAAACCACAGACTAAATTCATCGTAAGCTGGCACCAAATAAACTGGCGCCGATTTTCCAGTTCTTTTCAAACACCTCTACTGCAAAACACATAAACCCCTGTAAGTTAAATATTTGGGGCATGATCAACTTTCCATCCTCCATCCTTACACTTCGCTAAGTGAATGCAGGGTTTCTAAAAGGTGGCAGACTGACACGCCTGTGAGCTAAATCCTGTATTTATTCATAAGCAGTACAAGCGGTGGTATGACCCTATCAAGGAAACTATGTCCACAGTGTTCTATGATTCTCCACGAGCGGCGGTGTCTGCAAGGGGGCCCACGTGTGTGTACAAGCTCTATCCGCTCACCAAGTCTCCCTGTCCAAAGTGGACTTGGACTACTGTTTTTCAAGGGAACATAAACGTGACAGTGATTAATGAATGCAAATTCATTTAAAAGCATTAAACAATCAGACCAGTCTGATCGTTTCCTCATGTGTCACTTAACTTGTTTCTCTGTCCTGTATTTCCGATAAACTGACATTTGGGTCTGAAGGCCCGGCTAGGTTGACACAAGTATTTGGTGGAAGAAGACTTCATAGATGATGCACATTGTAATTACTGCAGCACGTGGGAGGCACATGATGATAGGCTGTTTCACCGGGACAGATGTTATGTTGAACCATTTGGTCCCCAGGCCCGAGGTCTCTCCAAGGTAAGTCTGCCCCACTGCAACTGGCAAGTATTCTGTTAGACAATACTTTCCCATGATATGCATATCCTGTCCTGGAGAATCTTTCACCTTCTGGTTTTAGCATCTTTGCCTTAAATAGTTATTTCATTGGAGGTGGCAGAACATTGATTTTTCTACTTCCATCATTCCTTCTATATTTAATAACTGGCACTCTTCCACAGAGAACCACTTCCTTTATCAATAGGTCCTGCAGGCATGCAGGAAGAATCACATAAATCTAGAGGACAGACAGCCAACAAGATAACTGGGCTGCTCTCTTAAAAAAGCTGGTGTCATAGAAGAAAAGGGGAGACGTGAGGGGACTGTTTTAGATGAAAACATATTTAAACATAAAACTAAAAGCAATGTGTGACCCTCTCCTGAGTCTTGAATTTTAAGAGCAGAAGAAGCTACAGGAGACATTTAGAAATAGAGATGGGTGAATGTGCTAGGCAGCGGACAATTTTAGGAAATTTCTGTTCATTTACTTAAGTGTGGAAAAGTATTTTGGCGATGGAGGAATGTGTCTTTATTTGGAGGGAATGCAAGCTGATGTAAGTTTGTTCCTTATTTTCTGTTCAGCCAATAAAATGTAGATAAATAGGGACAGCAAATATGAGAAATGTGAATAACTGTTGAATCTAGGTGTTTACATAGATGTAAACACTGTATTGTTTTATTATCTTTTCTGTATGTTTTAAATTTTTCATAATAAAAAAACTGGGAGGAGGGAGGGAAGCCTGACTGAGTATCATTAGGTCTCTTTTCAGGCAGTGATTATCGAAGGGCCTAAGACCACTGTGCTACGGAATCCAAGTTTACAGGGAGTCCTCACACTTGAAGAGACTGGAAACCAGTGCTCTGAACCAGGAAGCCCCACTAAAATGTTTGCAGGGACCCAGCATATAAAAGAATTAGGGAACATCATCTGGCTCAATGGTGAACAAACTGTGACAGTCTGCAGGGGCCATAAACTGCATTTCTGTGCAAAGAAATTTTCTCTTTAAATTGTTATTGTGCTTTTCCTCAATTTCAAGTGGAACACTGGTTACAAGTACCTAACTAAGAACCCCAAATGGCCATAGCCAATGCAACCAGCAGCCTCTAATTGCTCATTTCTTTGAGTAAATAAAGGTCTACATGACAGGTGGGCCACGCTTTACATTCTGTGTTCCACATTCCTTGGTAAGTTGATTCAAATTCAGGAATTTTTACCTTGGACCTTGTTTCTGTACTTTGCTTACCAGGCACTAGAACTAAAAAGGATAACTGAAGTGATTTAACTTTGGTTGCTTTTTTTTTTTTAACGTAGACTACTCTTAAGAGATCACTGATAGTTTTTGCTTCCAGAAACTGCAAATTCATCCTTTCATACTCTCAGTAAGTATGCAGTGAGCACCTGCTATTTGTCAGGTATCATGCTAGATACCAGGCACACTCTGATGATGATGACAGACATAAACACCACCCTTGTCAGCTTACAATCTGGCAGATAAGAGACTGTGCTGTCAGGCGGTGAGAGGATGGTCAGAACATTCAAACACATGGATTGCATTCGTGGGAAGGAAACGGCTACTGAGAGAACATACAGAACCATTACACAAGGGACTGAGTATGTTTGGCAACTTACGCTGTGAAACCAAATTTCAAAAACCAAGACACGCACAAAATAACCTAGATTTAATTTTTTTCAGTGAAAAGAAAGAAAATTAAGATGATGAAGGAACTCAAGGCCACTCTTTTGGTTGAAATCCTCCACTCCTCTGGTCAAAGGGCTTCCCTGGTAGCTGGGACAGTAAAGAATCCGCCTGCCATGCGGGAGACCTGGGTTCAATCCCTGGGTTGGGAAAATTCCCTGGAGAAGAGAACGGCTACACACTCCAGTGTTCTTGCCTGGAGAACTCCATGGACAGAGGAGCCTGGCGGGCTACAGTGTAAAGGGTCGCAGAGAGTCAAACACAACTGAGCCACTTAGACTTTCACTTTTTTTCTGGTCAATACTGTTTTGACACAGTCCCCTGGCTAGGCTGTCTGCCACTTCTCTCTTCCTCATTCCAACCCACCATCCACACTGCTCCCTAGCTGGCTTCTAAACAAAAATATTTTCTTATCCCTTCTAAAAGATTTTAGTGGCCTGAGATCCCAACTCCTCCAGCCTCACTTCCCATCGTGCCCCATGCCAACTTATCCTCCAAACACAGGGACAGTCTCACCCACACCTTGCTCTTTCATGACAAAGCACACGGCTCTGCTTCAGAATTTTTCATAACCAACTGGCACACCCTTGCTTATCCATCAGGAACCCATTTAAGTGGCATCCATCTTCCAAGATACTTCTCCCAGCTCCTACAAATAGAATTCAATGCTCACATACCAATCCACCCACACTCATTTTGCAATGACCTGTTTCTGCCTCCACCTCACTAGGTTATAAGCCCTTCCAAGGAAGGGACCGCACAGTGTCCATTTTTTTGTATCCCCAAAGCCTAGGACAGACCATAAAACTGCTATAGCTCAATTTCATGCCAGAATCAAATACGGGGTAAAAGTGATGCTACTAGACATCTGAGCACCAAACTCCATGCAGTGGAGGCACTGAGGAGGAAAGTCACAAATGCCTTCCTTTCTCCTCTAAACCCCTACCTCCTCACTTCTGCTTACCAAGGTCAAGTGTAGGACCTATGTAAAGAGAACACTGGGAAATGCCAGAGATACCTGGAGATGAAGGAAGGCAAAAGCAGAAGGGGGAGGCAGAGGATGAGACGGTTAGATGGCATCACCAACTCAAAGGACAGGAATTTGAGCAAACTCCAAGAGACAGTGGAGGACAGAGGAGCCTGCAACATGGGCCTGCAAAGCATCAGACATGACTGAGTGACTGAACAAAACAATAACCTGGAGATACAGGACTGGAACTACGCTTCCTTCCCCAGCAAGGTCCTTTCTGTGGTAATCAAGACTGTAAAGAGGAAGAGCACGCTGAAGAGAAGACTCTGTTCTCCGAACTCTACTCTTAACTCCATCAACAGATACAGAAACACAGTGACATGAGCAATGAGAAGTCGTTTAAAAAGCCACATTCCTTTTTTAACAGGATTGATATTTAAATAATAGGTGACCTCGACTCTATAAACAGAAGAGCTAAATAGCAGATCCCTTTGTAGTTGAATTCTACATATGCTAAACTACCCCCATAAAAAGATTGGAAAAGTAGAAGTAGGAGGAATGATGAAAATGAGGAAGGGAAGAAAGTGAGAGAAGGTATAAGAAAAACCAAGATGCATGCTGTCCATTTGATTTTAGGGTTTTTATATGTTTTGCATGTTTTAGTCTTATGTTATAGAGATTACTACGTGTGTATGTGCTCAGTAGGGTCCAACTCTTTGCGACCCCATGGACAGCAGCCTGCCTGGCTCCTCTGTCCATGGGATTTCCCAGGCAAGAATACTGGAGTGGGTTGCCATTTTGTTCTCCAGGGGATCTTCCCGACCTAGGGATCAAACCCACATCTCCTATATTGGCAGGTGGATTCTTGACCACTGAGCCACCTGGGAAGCCCATGGAGATTACTAGTGTAGGGTTAATGCAGGAACCAACAATGCAGCCTGCCTCTTAGCCAAGTACTGCAGTAGAAAGAATTCTGCAAGCATTGTTACGTCTTACAAGGCCACTAACAATTATCAAGCAATACAAAATTACAAGCAAACACCATATTATGAGAAACGCTAAAATTCTATACCAGCAACTGTAATGATGGCCTAGGCTTTGAATAACGATTCAATATTAAATCCTTAAAAGCAATGCAGAAGGAGGCTGCAAGCACCAACATTCTCAGAAGAAAATCCCTTAAAGGATTCAATACATGTGGATAAGCCAAAGTCCACCAAGACTTAAAATAATGTTCAAAGGATTCAGGGTGAATATGATACAGTTTAAATAGTTCTGAAAATTTGTATTTTAACTTCTAACAATACACTGACCTCCAGCAGAGTTGTTTTTCTCACCCTGCCCCCACCAAAGAAATATTTAAGTTTTATTTGTTTCCAATGGATTCATCTATGCAACATCCACTCCTTTGTGGATGGAAAAATGTGCCCAAAAAACGCTAGTTATTTTTATAGTTGCCATCCATATGAAATATGTAGCCTCTAAGAGAAAGGGTTTTTTTTTTTTTAAGAATAGCAAAATGTTCTGCTATGCAAATATAAGCAGATCTTTGTCTATGCAAATGCAGGGCACAGACTTGGATGAGGCAAAGCACTCTGACACCCAGCTCTCAGGCAATGGGACGTTCCAAGAGTTCTCGAGGTTGACAGAAAGCACAGCTCCTTCTCAGCTAGCCTGAGGGCGCTCACACTGCAATGATTCCGGCCTGGTCACTGTTACCCAGTGATATGTTTTCACTCATTGCTAAAAAAGGCACTCAGTAAAACCAAGGTGCTGGTACCAGTTAACTGCATTTAGATGGCAAGTAGAGGATCTATATGCTGGCAAGAGAAATAAATATAATGATCAAAACTCCTGCCTTCACTCCTCTCAACCCACTACAATCTGGTTTGGCTCTGAAATTCTTTTCAAGGAGTCTAAATCATCCCCAAATTGCAAGCTCCCCATTGCTTGCAGGTGTTCAAGAAATACCACTGAGTATGTAATGCAGACCAGTGACTGTTGACAGAAAGATGAGAGACACAGACTCTCCTTCTAAAAACCTAAGAAACTCATGAGGAAATTGGACATGTAAGTCAATTAATCTACATTGTGCAGTAAGTACTACAAGAGACACATTTATCTTCAAATACTGTAGGAAACTAGAAGCTGCAATGACTCCACTGGTCAGGGAAAAAAACAGGTAAATAATGAAGAAAGAAAGAAAATGGCAATCCCAATTTCGTGAATACTTAGAAATACTCAGGCACTGTGTTCTCTGCTTTAAATGCACTATCTTGTTCCATCCCCATAGCAACCCTATGACCTGATGTTATTAAGCCCATTTTACAGACAAGGAAACTAAGGCACACAGATGATGAAGAAGTAGGGCTAGGACTCTCACCCAAATGTATCTAACTTTGAGAATATGGGGCCTTTGAACTAAGTGGTGAAAGACAGGTGGAAAGGGGAGAGGAGAAGAGGAAAAACATTTGGACAATATAAGCAAAGGCAGAGAAGACAGGAAAAATTCACACTTTCAGACTTGCACAACAATGAAATGCTAACTTATTCATTCAGTCACAAATACATATTTTAACAGCATCCTGTATAATAAATAATTCAACAATTATAATACTGTTTTCTTCCACCCTCACATCTCCCAAATCATTTTTACCCAAACTTCCTATACTGTTTTTTCATTACAAGAAACACCTGGGAAGTTGATGCACCACTAATACTCTCTGTCATAGAGGACAATCGTACAACAGTGAGAAGATTATGTCATAGAGAAAACACCTTTTAAAAAGTCCTTAAACTACTCATACTTTGTAAATCAATATCATTACTAAGAGAGTACTCTGAGGAAAAGACGTAAGAATTTGAATATCTGCTGAACAGGTCTTTTCTAAAAGTTTTGTCATTATTGTTTAGTGGGGTGACGGGGACCTGATGTTTGAGCTCATGTAACAAATTAAACCTGGAAACACTTTCAAGATTGTTGAGAAAAACAGATGGAATGTCAAATATAAAGTATGATGGTCTATTTTGACAAAATTATGAGTCTCCTAAAGGGTTATATTTTCATATCAGTAAGTACACTAACAATTCTGTGTATGTTCAGTAGCTCAGTTGTGTCTGACTTTCTGTGACCCCATGGACTGTAGCCTGCCAGGCTCCTCTACCCATGGGACTATCGAGGCAACAATACTGGAGTAGATTGCAAATTTCTTCCTCCAGAGGATCTTCCTGACCCAGAGATCAAACACGTGTCTTCTGCATTGGAAGGAGGATTCTTTACCACTGAGCCGCCTTGGAAGCCGAACAGTTCTACCCTCCAGAATCTTTTACCAAAATAGCTGGAATTGTGATTACCCATCACTACCACTAGATGGGATCTCAACTAGGAATCACAAAGACCATCAGTTACCATCTAGTGCTAAAGGGGAGGACAAGTTCTTCTCTCACTAGGGTTTGGAGGGGCAAGTTCTGTTTTCCTTGCCAAAAGCTTACGTTTGGAAGAGACACCAAATACAAGAGGAAAGTAAGCAAGTCTTGCGTCCCTGTTACAACAAATGATTTCAAGATGCTTAACAGCAGAGTCTTTGAACCTGGCTTCATGAGAAAGGTGACTGACATAGAGAAGCTTCAAGGCAAGTTCAAGGGCTTCCTTGAAAGCTCAGTTGGTAAAGAAGCCACATGCAATGCAGGAGACCCTGGTTCAAGTCCTGGGTTGGGAAAATCTGCTGGAGAAAGGATAGGGATCCACTCCAGTATTCTTGGGCTTCCTTTGTGGCTCAGCTGGTAAAAACTCTGCCTGCAACGCAGGAGATCTGGGTTCGATTCCAGCGTTGGTAAGATCCCCTGGAGAAGGGAAAGGCTACGCACTCCATTAGTCTTGTCTGGAGAATTCCATGGACTGAACAGACCATGAGGTCACAAGAGTTGGATACAAATGAGCAACTTTCACTTTTTCTTCTTTCAAGGCAAATTCAGTGAATGTAAAAGAAGTCACTGCAAAGAACAGGTAACATAATGGAAAGTGTGTTTATTCTAGAGAGGGGCAGCCAACTCAAACAGTAGCTCACTGCGTAAAAGCAAAAGGCTCAAGTTTCCTCAGGAACTGAAAAATAAAGGAATCCTTCGAAAAGCAGGTCCTCCCCTGAACAAGAAAGTTCCAGAAGAGAAGCCAGCTTCGACATTCTGGGATAGGAGCATCACATCAGGGTGCTGGATGGCTGAGGGTAGCCAGAAACTTCTCAGCAGCCTCTCCAGGTGTGTGATCCATGTAGCGGTGTGTGAGGACACAGCCGCACACAGCCAAGCGCCACAAAGGGAGACTGTTCAGTGACGGGGCGTGCTCCCTTCCTGTCACGAACCTTCGCTGAGTGACAAAGGACACTGGGCTCCACTCTTCACTACCCGGGATACTTCAAACTCACAGAGAGGAAGAAGGAAGAGACAAACCCAGAAAACAGACGTACCACAGTGCAGGGCAATAACCCAAGACTAAAGAGGAGATACTAAAGTTAATTTAAAACCATTTGCTTCTGTTTATATGATTAATCTTTTGAATGTAAAAATGTTAATCTTCTTTACTGATAATCTTTTAAAACAGCACAAACAACTTGTTCCGCAACTCAAAGGAAGCTCATGCAAAATTCAATAGCTCTGCCTGGTTTAGACTGGAGCTGGCTGGATATTCAAATCCTGAGAGGTCAGCTCAACCTACACAGTGCAGAATATTAGCTCAGCTCCTGAATGCGCCGCTGCCAACTGCTTCTCATTTCTGTTTTACTTCATTTCCTTTGCTGACAGAACCCACACCTAACAAGCACAGCCAATCTTACTAACACTGAAAATTTCCCTCTGTCTCTCCCTGGTCCTCACTCACTCCTGTCCCTCCCAGATCCAAGCTTCTACTAACAGGCTGGAAATCTGGGGACCAGAGCTGGATCTCCTTGAGCTAGAAGTCCCGTCCGGGCACAGCCTTTCCCCACCCACAAACCGTGCTTCGCCAGGACTCCACCCAGCCATGGCCACTCACTCGCCACTGCGTCTGACGTACCTTTTGGAGGGATCCTTCTGAAGACACAGTGAAAGTAACTTTCTAAAAGACTTGCCATACTTTTTCATCATCTCCTTATCCTCTACTCCCGTTTCCAAAGTGGGTGGATCATTTTGCAAAGTCAGCATCAACACCTGCAGCAGAGACAAATGGGAAGACATGATCTCAGGACAGGCACTGCTTGCTACAAAAGAGTTTTTTTTCCATCAAAGTCTCAAAGACCCTCCTCCAGTAGGTACAAATTAAGTGCTTCCCCGTGATTTTCATTTTCTAGAAAATGTATATTCTAAGTATTCAGTTCCCTTTGCAAATCTGTTCACGGGCCCTTTAACCTTTTTTGTTATTCCATTGACAGAACTTATAAAATCTGCTCCATGTGTTAACATGACCTCCCAAAGGGGCCAGGACAGAGCTTCCTGGGAACTGGTTCTCACACAGCCTGCAGGAGCACATAGCTTCACAGCTCCAGCACCAGCTTAGTGCAGACAGGGGCTCTGAGAAACGGGGCGGTGGAGGGGCAAGAGAGAGGCCCAGAGCAGCAGGGAATGTTCATGTTTACAGGTCATTCCTAAGTAAGGAACTGCCCATGCTCAAGGCTTCTGTAACACATTACTGGCCTTAAAAATAAATCCACAACATCCCAGGAGGTAACACACGATTTCCTTCTTTTTCTTAATGAGAAAACATACACAAATACTTAACGGCTTGGCAAAACTAAGACACTGAAAGATAGCCAGGATACAACTAAGTTGCAAAAACCCATAACCAGGACAAAAGGACATGCTGCTTCTGGAAAAGGACAAAACCAAATAAAAATACAGTTTTCACATCGGAAAGGTTAAAAAAAATTCCACTCTTTCACACTAATGTCAAAATTATTTGCTTAAAAAAAAAAGTAGACTTTGTAGCAAACTATTGACCTATAAAATGAAAAAAAACTCATTAATGTGTAAATCAGTCTTAATTTATGCAAATACTATCAAGCCAAGACTCTTTTCAAGTGCTTTCAGATGTAGGAAAAGATGAAGGATTAAAGTGACAGTTGATTGTTTGTAGAGGATAACAGCAATCCAAAGAAAAATGGGAAATCTGTCAGATCTGAAGAAGTCCTACAGGCCTTTAGGCCGGGATCAGCAATGTGATGGATTCAAATGGAAAGCACTAAAAAGTAGGGGGAAAAGAAAGACCTAAGAAAAAATAATAGAGAAAAATCAGATAGAAGAAAAGTCTTCACGGTTATTTCAGTGCTTTTTCCCTGAAAGGTCACTTCCATTGTTTAAACCTCAACTTTAAATTTTCAGCTAATAAAATCAGGTGCAATCCCTGAATCTTATCTACATTAAAAATATGTATATTAAATATAGACAAAACAATGTAATAAACTATGCTACAATTTTAGTAGGGGTTATCTGTGGTTGATGAGATTATGGATGACTATTTTATTTATTTGTACTTCAACATTATCTACAACAAGAATGTTATTAACTTTTTAATCAGTAAGATTATTTAACTTTTTTAATCTTCAGTTTTGTTTTTTTAAATCCTCCTAAGCTTTTCCAATAAAATCCTAGAAAAAAGTTGAAACATACATACACCATATTCTCTGTAAAATACCTCCATAATTTCCACTCAAGCTATTTCAGCCTCAAAACAAAATCCAATTGGATAAAACAATCCTGATACTATCACATCAAAACTAACAGAAATGATGATGTGGGCCAGTTAAAAGAATAACAAAAAAAATCTAAAAATAGTATCCAAATGTACATTAGTTCCTAAAAACCCTGGGCTCCCTTACTTCAGATGAATTACCAACAGGACACCATGAGAACAAGAGTGAAATGTTATAGATTATGGAAAAGAAAAAAAAAAGGCCTGAACATCTGGAAATCCATCTGCAAAGATGATTATCACTCTAATCTATTTTTAGACTTTTCTTGGGGAATCAGGGATATTCTACCATAAAGACAGTAATGGCCAGCATTTGTCACAGCTATCAACCTCCATCGGCCAATCTGACCATATTCGTCTGTGCTATGAATGCAAAGCAGGCTTCAAGGCTGGGGACCAGGCTGCTTTTGTTCCATTCTGTCCACTGAGAACATCAAACAACATTTAACTCAGCTGCATCCCTCCATTAATTCTCCTTGGGTCTTAGAAAAAATGACTATGTTAAGGAGAATTAGCGAATGGATTCTGTTAAATCATCCTTCAAACCCAAAATATTATTTCCGAGAGTAATTACTTTCATAGGAGGATACTTGTGATAAGGCGCTGCTCCTGTGGCTAGTTCGATGGCAGTTATTCCAAAACTCCACATGTCAGCCTTGAAGTCATAGCCTCTCACCTAAGAACAGAAGCAGGGAAAAAACACAATTATATGGCAGGCATGTTACACGTGATGGGGGCGGGGGGGGCTCCATATTACGTCAGAAGTCCACAGTTCCGTGTACTCAACTTTGATATTACTTTGCAGCAATTGGGAATTAAACCTTACATGATGCATTCTAGTAAAACGTTTGATTTGAATGAAATGTTAGTGTATTAATGATATGTGCAACTGTACTGTGTCAATCAAAACATTATTATTTTTTTTTTTTTTTACCTGTTCCATGACTTCAGGAGCCATCCAACACGGAGTGCCAACAAATGTTTTTCTTACTTTATTCCGGGTAACATCACCCCCCGTTGCTAAGAAAGCACTTACCCCAAAATCTGAAAGGGAAAAAAATATCACCCTTATTTTATATAAGACATTATGGCTTACAAATTTTGACTTTATGAACATCTCTATTCCTGGCGGGCCTCATAATGGTGATGGAGTTGTCTCAGTCATATGCCTGGGCACTCCTGCCCCTTGCCACCCGCTACACTTCAGAGTATGCCCTCATCACAGCTCAGTATATCAAGTTATATTTTCTATCAAAAAGGCATCACAAGTCTTAACCAAACATAGAAGTTTGCAGTAAAAATATAAACACTTTCTTAAAGCCCTAAACTAACTATAAAGGATCTTAGCTTTTAGAAAAAGGATCTTAGCTTTTAGCTATGATTCATTTTAGAAAATCATTTATAACACTGAAGCCAGTAAAACTAGCATGTGTTTCTTTTTATGTTTTTCTTTTATCATGGTTATTTTCTAGCCTCTTTAATTATACATCATCAATGTTCGGGGAATGGATTTATTTTTTGAAATAAAGGATGAATAATATCCAACTTCCACATTCCCATGCGCTTGCTTGAACAGTGCTCTATAACATTCTAGCCAAAAACATAATGGCAAATCCACAAACCCAGATACATAAAGCCAACATGCCCAGGTTTGTCTACACGTAGCAATTAACACAAACGAAAAGCCCAGTCAGCGAAGATTGGTCTTTTTCCAATGTGTGCTTTCTGGATAATTTTCATAGGTATAGATAGAAAGATCTGTAGAATGAAATAATACTCTTCTTGATATCCATCATATATTGGAAGTTCTTCTTGTGAGGTGATAAACTAACTAAGTATATTGTATATGTGTCTGCATTTATGCAAAAATGGCTTTATATGCAAAAGTAGAGAGGGAATGTTGCATTGCTGTGCTTAGTCGCTCAGCTGTGTCCAACTCTTTGTAGCCTGCCTGCTCCTCTGTCCATGAGATTTCCCAAGCAAGAATATTGGAGTGAGTTGCCATTTCCTTCTCCAGGGGATATTCCTGATCCAGGGGTCGAACCTGGGTCTCCCACATTGCAGGCAGATTCTTTACCGTCTGAGCTGCCAGGGAAGCCCATATTATTTCTACACATACTGTATTTTCAAAGTGGAGAGAAGTTGAGTGATTTGCTGCTAGTAAGCTTTTTCTAGGTCATGATGCTAACATGGACTTGATCTTAAAATCAGCAGTGCCCACATCTCTTGCCTTTCCTGAATTGGCAGGTGGATTCTTTACTAGTGCAGCATCTGAGAAGCTCATAGAGACAGAACATTCAATGATTACTAATTCATGAATTTGTGCTTAGATTTTTACTAATGGTTAAAATTAGTTAATAAGTTAAAGGATCAACTATCTAGAGCTAGTACAGACCTATCAGTAAGAGCCAACTCAAGGCCAGGTAAATAGTAATAAGGGTACCCACTCAATGGACACGAATTTGAGCAAACTCCAGGAAAAAGTGAAGGACAGGGAAGCCCGGCGTGCTCCAGTTCAGGGAGGTCACAAAGAGTCGGACAAGACTTAGTGACTGAACAACAACAAATAGTAATAAAACTGGGGGATCAGTACCTCAAAACACTGTAGCAGATTACACAGTGTGAGCCCCTTCAAACTGCTCTCACATAACTCTCCATAGCTGGGCCCTCTGGTAACTGCCAGGATGACGGCAATTACCAAAGAACATCAAGAACAAACCAAGGTCAAACACTGGCATTTGTGTGAGATCTACATTATTGAGTTATGCAATAACACTGGAACCAGTTCTCTGAGTTGAAATCTGTTGACTATTTCATTTTATTTACATTTAAATGTACTCCACTCCCAACAGGATTACAACTGCAAGTAAAAGGACAAAAACTGACAAAGGGAGTCTTTATTCCAACTGCTACTTTCATGTTAATAGTGAGCAAAAGTATATTCTGAAAATGTCATATACTTTAATTTGCACACATGTGCCAAACTCTATTTTAACTTACATTACAGTCAGAAAAAATAAAACTTTGTGAAAAGAAACCTCTAAAACCCATTGAACCAATCTCTTGCAAGGAGCAGGAGATAACATTCATTCTCTTACAGAAGAGCTAGATGGAGTTATTCATTACTAAGTATCTACCATATTGGCTATAGGAAGAGACAATATGAGATAAGGCTTTTGAAAATATAAATTTCAACTTCACCTGTATTTCTGAAAAGAAGTTTAAAGTGAATCCAACATTCCATTGTTATTAATTTTGAAATATGATAATATTAAATAAATACATATCATCTGTAAATAATTAAGAATATGGGTAGAAGTTGCTTTAAGGAAAAATAAATTCTTTTCCAGGGAGCTGAAGCAACTCTATACCCAAATAAACATATATCTTCCTAAAAGATACAATATAGATAAAAATCCATTACTAACATTGATCTTTAATTGCTTAAAAACACCATCTGATTAGACCTTTTAAAAGCTCCAAAAATAGCTGAGAGAGATGTATAGTTGTAATTCATTACTGACAATACCTCTTCAATGTATTTTTCTGATTCACATATGTACTCACAGACTCCACTTAGAACACTCATTTTTAAGTTATAAACAGATCATTAAATGTCTTAAAAGCTCAGAAGAAGAATTCCACAAGCAGAAAACACCAATCCTAACATATGCTCACCCTATGACTACAGAATCAAGGCACAGTTTGCTCCTAAGTATGGCCAGTGTATACAGAAAAAGATTTACATGTACTGAGAAAGAGAACTTTTGGACTGAAGTATATCGTATGCTTGTGTAAACAGGAAGACAGGTACACTCTGTGTGGACAGCTCACATGAGACAAGTGGAAGGAGGTGATAGAGCACTAACATTGAAGAGCGCCCTTGACGGCTGAGAGAGACCGCTAGACAGCTCAAGGGAGTGGAGCCAGATACACGTGGGTCAGAAACCATGAACACTTCTCTCGCAACGTGGAATCAAAGGCTACACATAAAGTTCACCAGCCTCCAGGAATAACTGCATCTCAAACCAGAAAGAATGCTGTCATCCTGTTAACAAAAGGTTCTCACGTCTTTTGAATCCACCCATTTCTCTCCTTCCCCACTGCTCTTGCTTTGGTTTAAGCCAAGATTCCTGTGGCTACCTTCTAACTCACCAGTGGCTTGGCTTTCCCCAGATCTAGCCTCAACCAGGCCCTTCTATGTCACAGACCTGAAGGCTCCTTAAAAGTCTTAAAGGCTCCCTGTTCTCCCAGGATCAAGTTAGAATCCCTCAGCACAACACATTAACTCTGACTGTTCTTTCCTCTCCCACCTCATCTATCACTACTCCCAAATTACAACCTTGAGCCTGTGAGTGCTTGCTAAGTCACTTCAGTTATGTCCCACTCTGTGTGACCCTATGGACCATAGCCCACCAGGCTCCCCTGTCCATGGGATTCTCCAAGCAAGAATACTGGAGTGGGTTGCTGTACCCTCCTCCATATGGTCTTCTCGAGCCAGAGATCAAACCCAAGTCTCTTAAGTCTACCTGCGTTGGCAGATGGGTTCTTTACCGCTGGTGCCACCTGGGAAGTCTAGCCTTGAGCCCAGCCCTCCAAAACTACCTACTTTTAATCGCCTGAACCCACCACCATCCTTACCCTCAGTGGTGCAGCCTTTGCACTTGGATGATGCCTTTGCCTCTGCATCATCATCTCGACACAACTTCCCTCCACGAAGGGCAGAACCATCAGCAGAGGACAATCTGCTGGGCCTCATTAATGACAGAACCATCTTCAGCATCCTAGCTCTTCGTGCCACAGGGCTTTTCCACAGCTTCTCCGTTTACTAGGAGTGGCTGGTTTAATATGCATTCATCACCTTTGCCTAAGTTGTGACGTACAACTTCGGTGACTTTGGGAATTGGCGTGTTTTGATATGTGAACGCTGCTGAGCCCTAGGGAGGATCTGCAGGGTTTTGGGGTGCCAATACCTGATCTAGAAAGAGGCAGAGCTGTCAGGAAACAGCACAGCTCTAAGCGACCAGGTACAGGATAGATAAGTGGTTAGACCAAACACTAAGCTATTCCCCAACTGTGTGACTCAAGCAAGGCACTTTATCTTTCTGGATCTCTGTTTTCAGGCTTCTTGGTAACGCTTGTTTTTACATTATTTTCACGTTTATAACACTCCCCTATTCCTTTTTTACCATGGATAAAAATACTGTAAAATAATTGTTAGGTAGATCAATAAGCTACTGTTCTCTGCCTTTTAACTGGGCCGAGGGGAAAGGCATTAATGAATTTACAGTGGTAAATATAAAATATAAGAAGGTGATGCTGCCACTTCTCTGGCTGTCCAGTGGTCAAGACCCCACACTTCCACTGCAGGGTGCACACAGGTTCGACCCCCGGACCCCGTTTGGGGAACTAGGGTCCCACACACCACTCAGGCAAAGGGGAAAAAAAGGAAGGCAAAGCTTCCTGACCTTGAGAGAACCACCATCAAGGAGGGAGAAGGAGGGAGAAGACACGAGACAGGATAACGCGGAGAATCGAAGGCTCTGCTCTGCTGTGTAAGCGCAGAGGAGCAAGGTTCCTGACAGTCAGGCAAGTCTCCATCTTAAAGCGGGCCTTGGACCTGGCCTTGGAGACGAGTCTGAGATCTGGACAGACGAGCCCAAAAGGAAATGACATTCCAGACAAAGCAGCAATGAGCAAAGAGCAAGTGTTGAGCCAAGAAGAAAAACTGTCCGACAGCTGCATGGCTCAAAAACCCGAACACCCACAGGAGCCCGGGCAGGAATAGGAGGAGGGGAGAGGGTCCTGAAAACCACCAGCATGATCTCAGTGATGAAGGCACTTGATACCTCTCAGTGGAGGAGGGCATTAGGAAGTCCAGGGCCCTTCCCAGGAGCCCATTCTCAGTGTCTTCTAAATCAAGCCTGGACTATCCAGCTGGAGAAGCAAGTTGTCACAGAGGAAAAGGGCCCCCATTTTCCCAGAAAAAGCCAAACATCACAATCTCAATATATTAATAAAATCTCTTTTGTTTTTGCTGTTAC